ATTTTGAAACCCACAATTAACAGGATACGCGCGTCATTTAATTAAAAAATTAATTGTTTAATTAAAATGATAAAAACCTGAGAAATGAAAAAAAAAAAGGTGAAAACCTGACTTTTTAAAATGTTAAAGAAAAGGCCCGGTTTCATGTAATTTCCACTAGAAACATCACATGATTTGGGCTACTCAATTAGTTTTGTCACTTTCATGGGCCCAATTCTTTCTTATCTCATTCTTGCAACTTGCAAGCCAATCTTTCTCAAAAATCAAACCAAAATGAGATATTTATCATTAAAAGGAAAATTGTAATGGTTATTATTATTATTATTATTTCTCGATCAAAGTCAAGAAAATTAACGGAAACAAGGTTCCATAAAACTCGTGTCAATGCATTTAGCTGAATGGCCCTCGAAAAATAATGAAAATAATTCATTGCCTGATATATATTCTTTGATTGATTTCATATATTTTACTAAACAGTTTCATTGAATCTTAAATTTAGATTTACTAACAATAATAATAAATTCTAGGAGATGAATTGAACGCATAATTCAATGCTCATCACTATGGAATTATATGACTTTCGCCTAAATTTCTTAAAATTATAATTTCCATTTTGTTCCATTCCAACAATTTAATTACTTTAAATCATGAACAAAAAATAATATTTTTTCTCTTTTTAATATCTTAATTAATTAAAATTTTAATTTAATGTGATTTTAAAATGACAATAATTTTGGAATCATTTATTAAAACTTTACTACATATTTGTATAGTAGATAAAATAATTATTCTCCCAAATTTTGCACCTGCTATTTTATTTGTGTGTTTTATTTTCTTTATTCGTAACTTATAGCCGCTACTTGTCATCCACTTTTTCAAATTTTTTTTTTCTCAAACTCATTTCAACCACACATTCACACAATAAAATATTCTGTACGTAAATTTAAAAAAAAAAAATTCTACTGTTTAATCACACGTTCTCAAAAAAATTACTATTGTAAAACTTATTATTTTTTTTTTTTCTAAAAAAACAAAATCTTTTTAACGGCTACCAAATAAAGGCGTCATTTAGTCAAAAGTCAAAGTCAAATTTTAATTTTAATAATGCATTTACACATTCATTAATTATTCACACATTTCATGTGACTCAATATACTCCTTACACTGTACTCTCCTTATAATGAAATCCAAACACATAAGAAAATCACACATTCCAAAGATTTCAAATAATAAGCTCTATAAGAACACACATATCTTAAATTTTATGTATGTCCTAGTCTGGTGGGAATTAAAATCAAATTTTATTTAAATTTTGATAGAAGTTGATAAAATAAGTGGTTAAAACGTTGTCAGATTCATAAAATATGTGATTGAAATTAATTGATGACTTTGATTTAAATTAAAATCTAGGTCCCTATTTGGTACAGATTAAAATCTAGATTTCAATCATATATTTTATAGATTTCACTACTTTTCAACCAAACATTTCATTAATTTCTATTAAAATCCACGAAAAATTTGATTGTAATCCCACGAAAGAAAGAAGTTTGAAAACACAGTTTCTGTGAATCCTCGTCCATATGCTAAAGTAAACCCTAATAAAAAGCTTCATCACCAAGATTTCTGTTGCTTAGCTTATCTGAGAAGTTAAATAAATACATACATGAATTGAGTAGACAACCAATAATATCCACTACCTTGTCGGCTGGTTTACATTTTATATTTCAAGGGAAGAATTTGTCTACTCCCGTCTCCTTCTCGGTACCTTACAACTGCCTGGATATGGACTAATCAACTCCAATCAAAAATCATTGCAATATTTGATGCTTTGAAGACTGCTCGAGAGAGAGAGAGAGAGAGAGTAATTTTTTTTCTTGTAAGGTAAATTCTCGTGTGGTTTAAATATTAAAAAAAAAAAAAACGACAAAGTGCAATACTTTTTAACTATACTAGTAAAGTAATTTTTTAGGTTCTTAACTACATTTTGCACCGATCGAAGATAAAATTTATGGTAACCCCCGAGTTAAACAAAGAAGATTTTCTAGGTTGCATGACGATGATGAACATGACTAGAGCACATGAGATATAGATCTTTATCTTTTTTACCTTTTGACTCCATGTTCGGTATTGTATAATGATTGGGGTTAGGTCAAATTCTCCCCTCCTAAGCTTGTATCTAATTTTATTATGCAGATATAAAATTTTCTTGGGTTATCCCGAAGTCATTTTATGTTAAGCCACTGTTTGGATATTATTTTATTTTGCTAAAATTCTACTTTTCAAGAAACTATGATTGAAAATTGTGTAGTACTTATAAGTCTTACAAAATGTGTGATTTACATTAATATTGATTTAAAAAGTAAATTTTAGGAGAAAAAAATGAAATCCAAATGGAGGCTAAGCCCCTGTTTGAGCCACATTTTTTTTTTCATTCTCATTATTCTACTCATTTTCAATCACACATGCTTCAATAAAATAATATTTTACATCACATCAATAACTTTTCATTCTTTTTCAATCACATATTCGTCATCACATCAAAAGCAAAAATGCATTCTTGACTACAAAATGTGCAGCAAACAGGCCGGGCTTAAATACATGGTAGCGGTACACATGTAATTTCTCTATATATATGCAAGTAATAAGTGAACATCTAACTTTGAGCATCAGAAAATCCACAATAAGTCCCCGTTTATCCCATATTTTAAAATTTATTTTTTTCTAACTCATTTTAATCACACATTTTTCAAAAATAATAATAATAATATTTCACAGTTTATTCTCAAAACATTTCTAGCAAACAGGGACTAAGCAACTCTAGTATTGTCTAACTAGGAGACTAGGACGTGCACTTATGTAAGCATAATTTATAATCACATCAAAGTGACTAACGTATATAATGATTTTTTGCAAATTTAAGTTGTGAGCCGTACAAAAAATCTCTATCAAACAAGGATTAAGCAACCTTTTTTTAACATATGTATAAGTTGATAGTCCTATGAGACATCCAGTGAATAAGTGGGTAGTAAATTGTAAGTTTTATGTAATATTTAAATAAGAAACATCTTTAATCAATTTAAGTTTTGCCAAACATGCTATGAAGTAGCTTTTGCACATTATATATATATATATATATATATACTAGGTGCACGCAACGTGCAATGCACGTTTGCCTAGTTTATATTTAATAGTTTTGTTTAAGAATTAATTTGTTATTAATAAAGATGTAATTTTTTTGGTTAATTAAATAATTAATGATGTAATGTTTATGTAATTGATAAATA